GAAGATATCTGGGTTGCTTTCGGCTGCGCTCTGCACAGAGCATTTGGACTGAGGGTGGGACTGGCAGCCGGGCACACAGCCTCTAGGCTGTGTCAGCCTCCCACCCAGTGCCCACAGGACCCTGGAGCTCCGGGGTATTTCTTGGCCTGCTGGCAGATGGCTCCCCTCCAGCCAAGGGAGCCAGGCCAGACTGCTGGCTATCTGAAGCAGACCGCTTTTCTTCCCATGTTTTGAGGGTAGGCAAGAATGAGAAAAAGGAAGAAAAGAAAAAAAAAAACCCAACAACCACATTCTCAGACAAATAAAACTCAGCTCTACCAGACAGGAAAGCTGAGCTTCTCAGCACATAGGGTGCAGGAGCAACTCAACAGAGAAATTTTCCTTTTCTCTCTGAGAGATAGCAGTCTTTGGGCCCCTGCTGGAAACCTGGGTCAAGAGTTTTCAGCTCTCCCTACCCTACACACGAAGTACCCGGCAGCAGAATCAATGGTGCTCCCCAAGTATGCCATTTGCTCCCCTGCCTTTCCCAGCTGTGCCGTGTGACTAGTTTTGGCTGATGAAATTGAGCAGAAGGGATGCATGTCATTGCAGGCTGAAACAGTAAAAAGCCCAGGCCGTGATCGCTAGTCTCTCTTTCCTGGCCACTCTGACCACGGAAGCCAAGTGTTCCAGACAGTGCGGCTATAAGATGACAGAGATCCCGCCCGCCTGGGTCCCTGAGTGAGTCTGTGGAGCAGAACTGCCTGCTGAACTGCTGGGATGTATAGCGTGAGCAAAACCCTTGTTGTGTTCAGCCACTGAGACCCAGGGTTGGTTTGTTATTGCAGCATTACCTGGCATGCCCTGACTGATTCAAGCTCTGGTGTACTTTGCCATGTTGTCACTGGGAGAGCCCAGCATGCAAGAGGTGGAAAACCACACTTCCTCCCTTTCTGGCCAACAACCTTCACCCAAAGGATTTCTTATATTCAGGGGCCCACGGTTCCCTGTCTCACCAAAGATTTAAGGAACTTCTCTGAGGCTTGGGCCTGGGTCTGTGCCTTCCTTTGAACTTCTTTGCAGCACTTGGTTGAACACAAGCATAGAAATGGTCATCTCTCACATTCTCTCATTGAACAGGAAATGAAGCACTGTCACTGGTGATCCCCCATGAGGAAGGTGGGATTGCCTTAATTCCTATGTTAAAGATGAGAACATTGAAGCTCAGAGGGAGTTAATTCCTCCTGAGGTTGCACAGCTAATTAAGGAACTTGAACCTAGGTCTGTGCCTGTCATCACAACACTGGTATTTCTCAAAATGTAGCTCATAGACTCCGAGGTGGGGCCTGGGAATCTGCATTCCCAGAGCCCAGCGTGCTAACCATTACACCATGGAACTGCACGGGAATATGCATTTTCAAAGCTCCTCAGGCAATAATGATGCTCGCTAAGTCTGAGAACCTTTACACCACCTGCTTCCGTCAGACAAAGCCACCACCAGAGAGGTGGGGTTTGAGGGGCACAGCAAAGGACCACCTCTCCAACTAAAACAACATAATGCCTCCCCTGCCAGACAGCTCGTGAAATTCTCCCCAAAGAGCCCTTTCTTTGGGTTCAAATACAAGTTGTCCTAGAAACACGTGAGGCTTTCTCGTGAATTAACTCAGATTATCCCCAGCTAGGAACAACCGTCTGTAAGACGTCACTCTGCAAGGGAAGTTTCTGCAGGGAAACAAGACCTTGCTCTGAAAGTGTGCATCCAGCTGGAGGCTGCAGACGGGGATGTCCTGGACTGCAGGAAGAGGCTGAGCCTCATGGGGTTGGGGGTGGGAGGAGGACTCCAAGGAGAAGAAAGAAATGCAACTGCAGGAGGTGGTTAAACCCTCACACAGGAGAAAGAGTCAGAAAGAACTGGAGTAAAGTCTCAGCCTTACTATTTACTACCTGGGTGAACTTGCAAAAGTTACTTCATCTCTCTGCGCTTCAGTTTTCTCATCTGTGAAATGGAACTACTCCCAGAACCTACCCGTAGTTAGGCTGCTATAGGAATCAAATGCATTTGCACATCCATAACAGTTATCGTTTATCCATCCCTTACCATCTGCCAGCAGCCGTTCTAAGTGATTCACATATATTAACTCACTTAAACATCACAACTATCCCATGATGTGGTTATTGCTTTACCCATTTTATAAGTGAGGCAACAGAGGCACAGAGAGGTGAAGTAACTTGCCCAAGGCTGCAGAGCTCATAAGTGTCAGAGTCAACATCTGAACCTAGTTGGTCAGACTTCAGAAGCAATGACCCTGGGGACTTCCCTGGTGGTTCAGTGGTTAAGACTCTGAGCTGTCAATGCAGGGGGCGAGGGTTCAATCCCTGGTTGGGGAACTAAGATCCCAAATGCTGTGCGGTGCGTCCAAAAAAAACCCCAAAGAGGCAATGACCCTAATGGCTACATTCAGGGTGTAAGTGGAAGCCTTATCTCAAAGGGAAGGATGCCACTGGAGGAGGGCTGGAGTGGAGTCTGTTGAAGGCTGGAGTCCCCATTGCTCATGTCCAAATGCAGTCTGAATGGCAGCCATAATTATCAACACAAATACCAGCACTCTTGCTCTGCCTCCAAGCCAGGCAGTGTCCTGGGAACAATGTTTTGGTTGTTGTTTTATCTCTTTTGCCTTTTTAGTGCATCCCCTTAAATAAACTGCAGTGTTGCAAGTAGAAGAGGGAACCAGCATGTCTTGAGCAGTTACTACAGGCAACATTCCATATCAGGCAAATCCATGTGTCTCATTGGGCCTCACAATTTCATGAAACAGATATTATTGTCTCCATTTTATGGATGAGGAAAGTGGGCCTAGAGAGGTTAAATGACTTGCAGCAAATCAGTAGCACGGTGCTGCTTCAAACCCTTGTCTGTTGAATCCAGAGCCACTTATGAGAAGTGATGGCAAGCCAGGGCTTTTAGATCCAACCCCCGAAGATGAAGCTCCCTGTTCCTCACCCATTCCTCCACGTGCTGAGTGTTTTTGAATGGCTGCTCTAGGCCAGGCACCAGCTTAGTGGCCGTGGCAACCCGGCTTCGGCTTCATTCTATTCAGCAGGGATGCAGGTCTATCTTAATAGTATATTTGGAGAGATTTCTATTGTCCCCGGGATCTGTGAGGGCCGACCATCAGCCCAGGGGCTGCTTCGCGGGGCTAGGGGGACTCAGCCTCCTCCTGGGAGAATCCAGGCTCTGGGTGTTTCAGGAAATGTCTGACCTGCCAGGTTTCCGTGTGACTGATCAGTTAGAGCTGAGGAAGGGGGGTCGGCGGCCGGGAGGGGAGGTTTCCCGTCAGCCCAGCTTTTGTCTCGCACATGAGCCCGAGACAGACAAACCACACCACAGACTCGACCAGCTGTGGAAGCATTGAACAGGAAACCCAGAACATCTGGTGCCCCACTTCCTCTGAAGGCTGTGCAAGTCTGGGTGTGTGTGTGTGTGTGTGTGTGTGTGTGTGTGTGTGTGTCCCTGCCTGTGTGCACGTCTGTTTTCTCTCCCTCTGTTGTTTAGTGGGATGGGGATGCAGACAGGGTTGGAAACCACAGGCCTTGTGGTGACAAGGGAGCCTGACACCCGCTCCCCAACCCTTACGGTGCCTCAACCCTTCTCAGACAGTGACCCAGGATCTGACCCACCCTCACAGGCCACCCTCCAACACCTAGCTTCAAGTCACCACGCACTTCAAGAAAAGGATTTTTTTTTCCTTTTGGATTTGGGTGGTTTTAGTGGAATTTGTTTGGGGATGAGGTGGGAGGGCTCTGCTTAAATCTAATTTGGCCTCAGCACACAGACTCACAGAAAGCAGCGTCTGGATGAAGGCTGTTTTTAAAACAATTTGAGGAGAACCTGTGGATGACCTCTGAGGCTGTGTGCCGGTCAGGGGGCTGTTTTCCCACTAGTCGTGTTGTCCTCTGTGTAAGGCCTGAGAAAGACAGGCACCGAGAGGGGAAGAAATGTAAGGAAGTGGAAAGAATACCCCCCACCCCCCAACCAGGGCACGAAGTTTAACTCTCACGTCTGTCATCTTTAGGAGGTAGGGTTATGCTCATTTTTACAAATCATGAAATTGAGGTGCAGATGGAGTTCATAACTCACCCAAGATCATTCAGCAAGAAAGGAGCAGGGCCAAACATCAAGACCAAACCTGACTCCTGGCTGCACCGTATCTCCTAGATCTCACTTCATTCTTTCAATGAACAGTAATCATGCCCCACACACAACTGGTGTTCAATGAATGTTTCTTGAATGAATCAATGAAATGAGCTGTCATGGATGGCAGGGGCTGGCCTCATCACTGTGTCCCCAGGGCTCAGCACCAGTGGGTGCTTCCTAAGTTCCAGAACAGTGACACTTCATTTACCTGGAGGTCATTTACTTAGCCAGGTCAACTGCTTGGATCCTGGCTAAAAGTCTGAACGAAGGTAAAAGGAACCACAAGCTGTCCACAGAAGTCGCAAATGCTTAAAAGTTCAAATACTTGGCTCGGAGACCTTCTCAGGCCCTCAGTCGGAGTCTGGTTACCCTTTCTTACAACTCGTGCTAATAAGTTTGCTTGCTGACCTTACAAGCGTTGGCTGAAAAGCTTCCTGCTAGAGGAAGCTTGCTGGCAACACAATCTGGGAATTCAACTAGCATTTTCAGACTAGTAGGTGGCATTATGGATGGAACAACGCACCAGGAGAGGTAACAGGCGAGACAAACTGCCCGATTCTCCGATATCTGCTAGCTTTGAGAAAGCCAGTTGGAACTACAGCATCTCTGACGATTTCTCTGGCCAAAATTAAAGGAACAGCAGCGAGAGCACGCAGACCTCAACTGTGCTCGCTCACGACTTGGTGTTTAAGAGCTACACATGCGCCAACCTGAGATGACACATGTGCAGTGTCCGAGGCCGTGCTCATTTTAGTCGGCAGAGCCCACTTCTGAGCTGGGACTGACGTCATGCAAAGCGCCGCGGGGGCATGACGTCATCCGAGTGCGCCTCCCACGGTGCCGAAGCCCCCGGGCTCCTACTAAGGTGTTGCTGTGGAGACGGGGCGTCGAGCCCCACTCCCGAGACGGGATTGGAGGAGAGCTGGTCACCTGACGTTGGTGAGGTTTCGAAAGCGCGCGGGAGGCGCTATGGGGCGCTCTCTGCGCGGTTCTCCTGGCAAGTCAGATACTTCCCCGCAGTTCTGCCCGGCAATTTCCGGGAACGCCCTGCCCCCCCCCCAAATTAGAGTCAGAGCCCAAAATTCAATTTGAGGGGCTTCTTGACTTACGGTAGTAAATTTCGGATGTACCGCTTGTCCAAGTAAAGTACAAATTCAAAGTGCCCTAGACCCTATTCTGCGTGGGGCAGGAGGCCCCGTTAAGGCTTAAGTTTATCACTTAAACAGCGTAGGGATGGGAAGAAGAGTCTGGACCAGAAGACTTAGTCCTAGGGGCAACCTAACCTTTTTTTAAAATAAATTTATTTATTTATTTACTTATTTTTGGCTGCGTTGGGTCGTCGTTGCTGCACGTGGGCTTTCTCTAGTTGCAACGAGCGGGGCCTACTCATTATTGTGGCTTCTCTTGTTGCGGAGCACGGGCTCTAGGTGCGCGGGCTTCAGTAGTTGTGGTGCGTGGGCTCAGTACTTGTGGCTCGCGGGCTCTAGAGCTCAGGCTCAGTAGTTGTGGCACACGGGCTTAGTTGCTCTGTGGCATGTGGGATCTTCCCAGACCAGGGCTTGAACCCGTGTCCCCTGCATTGGCAGGCGGATTCTTAATCACTGCACCACCAGGGAAGTCCCAACCTAAACTGTTTGAGTCTCAATTTCTTCTCCGTGAGATCTTTCCCATAAGCATATAAATATATTATTTCTTCCTTCCTAAGAAATCCTTTCCTTGACTCCATTTCTCCCTCCAGTTCACACCTCATCTCTCTCTCCTTTCTCTGAATATCAGAGCTCCTTGAAAGAGTGCCTACAGTCACAGTCTCCAGCTCTCCCCAGGCTTTGTCGAACCCTCTTCCTGCATACTCACTTTCTTCCCCATCTTCTTCTCACCTGCTCTGTCAGCAAAGTTTGAAACCGTTTATCACCTCTCCTCTGAGAAACACTCTCTTCACTTGCCTTGCAGGACTGCACACTCTTGATTTTCTTCCTTGTACTTCTCAGTCTCAATTTATGGTTCCTCCTCATTCCCCTGACCTTTCAATGTAACAGTACCCCCAGGACTGGCTCCTTGGATTTCTCTCTCTTTTCACTTAATATATCTTGGTGACCTCATGTAGTTTCATGACTTTAAAGACCATCTATATGCTGACGAGAGCCTCTCCCCTGAATCTCAATACCTGAGTTTACAACTACCTATTTGGCTTCAAAACTTGGATGCCTAGTCAACTGCTCAAACTCATCATGTCCGAACAGGATTCCTGAGCTTCTCCGCCAAAAGATGCTTCACCCGTGCTCTTCCTTATCTCAGAGAATGGAACCTCTGTCCTTCTAGCTTCTCAGCCTCCAAACCTTGTGTTCTTCATCCTGCATCCAATCTGTCAGCAAATCCTATTGGCTTTTTCTTTAAAATATACCCAGAATCCTACCTCCACGGACACCACCTTAGACCCAGCCCCTCATCTCTCACGGATTATTGTAAATGGGTTGTTGTAATTGCCTCCAAACGATTCTCCCAGATTCTACCTTTACCCCTCTCTTCCTCAGTCGATGTTCACATAATGACAGCCTGAGTAATTCTGTTAAAAGTCATATCATGTGGCTCCTTTTGAGCAAAACCTTCCAAAGACACCCCTCTCACTCAAGTAGAAGGCAAAGTTCAATCATGGCCAGGAGTGTCCTCCACCCCCCGGCTCCTGGCAGCTTGCTGAGCCACCTCTCCTAACTTCAGCTCCCTCACTGCCTCTACTGCAGCCACATAGGTCATTTTGCCAGGCTTCCTTATGCCTCTAGGACACTGGACTTGCTTTTACCTCTGCATGGAGCTTGCCCTCAAATAGCCCCAAGGCTCCCCCTCTCAATGTACACTCAGACATTCCTTGCTCAGAAAGGCCTTCTCTAACCTCTGATTTTAAGTTACACATCTGCCTCCATAATCCCACATTCCCATTGGGCTTCATGGCATTTATCACCTCCTAATATACTATGAAACTTACTTCTTTATCTTATGTGACATCCCTCTCCACATGAAGGCAATGATTTTGTTTTGTCATGGCTGCATCCCAAGTTCCTAGACAGAGACCAGCAAGTGACAGGCGCTCAAGAAGCATCTGCTGGGTGAATGGATGCATTTCAAGATCAGAGGGTTCAGTACTGGTTTCAAGCCAGAGCTTTAGGAGCTTATGTTCCAGTCCTCCTTTGCCACTTAGCTGCTTTGAGGCCTTTAGGAAGTTTAACTGAATCTCAATTTCCTCATTTTTTAAAATTAATTAATTTATTTATTTATTTTTGGCTGCATTGGGTCTTCGGTGCTGCGTGCGGGCTTTTCTCTAGTTGCGGAGAGCGGGGGTTACTCTTTCTTGCAGTGTGTGGACTTCTCATTGTGGTGGCTTCTCTTGTTGCAGAGCACGGGCTCTGGGCTCTAGGCTCACGGACTTCAGTAGTTGTGGCACGTGGGCTCAGTAGTTGTGGTACACGGGCTTAGTTGCTCTGTGGCATGTGGGATCTTCCCAGACCAGGGCTTGAACCCGTGTCCCCTGCATTGGCAGGCGGATTCTTAACCACTGTGCCACCAGGGAAGTCCTCAATTTCCTCATTTTTAATGTCAGTGAAATGATACTTCTTTCATTCAACAATATGGAACCCCCCTCCATGTGACCAGCAAGCACTGTGCTAGTTGCTGGAGACTCTACAGAGAACCTAAATGCACATTTCCTCACTGCTCTGGAGTCTAGAGCCTGAGGAGGGGATACAGATAATATCCCTGTAGTCCTCCAAGTAAGTGACTATTTGCAAACTGTGATAAGTGTGACAGAGGAAAAGCAATATAGTGCTGAAGGGGGAGGGGTGGGGGGAATCTCTCCAGGGGAGTGACTTCTTAACTGTATTAGTCAGCTTGGGCTGCCGCAACAAATACCACAGGCCAGGTGGCTTAAAAACAACAGACATTTATTTTCTCACAGTTCTGGAGGCTGGAAGTCCAAGATCAAGGTGCTGGCAGGGTTGGTTCCCCCTGAGGCCTCTCTCCTTGGCTTGCAGGAGGCTGCCTTCTCCCTGCGTCCTCACATGGTCTTTCCTCTGTGCACTTGCAACGCTGGTGTCTCTTCAGATGGTTCTAATCTCTTCTTATAAAGACTCCAGCCAGATCGGCTTTGGGCCCACACTAATGGCCTCATTTTAACATACTTACCTCATTAGAGGCTCTATCTCCAAATGCAGTAACATTCTGAGGTCCTGGAGTTAGAACTTCAACATATGATGGGGCGGGGGGCACAGTTTAGCTCATGACATTAATTAAGATCCAAAGGATGTTGGGCTTCCCTGGTGGCACAGCGGTTAAGAATCCTCCTGCCAATGCAGAGGACACGACTTCAAGCCCTGGTCCAGGAAGATCCCACGTGCCCCGGAGCAGCTAAGCCCATGCGCCACAACTACTGAGCCTGCGCTCTAGAGCCCGTGCTCCACAACAAGAGAAGCCACCACCATGAGAAGCCCGTGCACTGCAAAGAAGAGCAGCCCCCTCTCACCGCAACTAGAGAAAGCCCACGTGCAGCAATGAAGACCCAATGCAGCCAAAAATAAAATGAATAAATTAAAAAATAAAAAAAGGATGCATAGGAAGGAGAGATGGGACAAGGGGAACCCCAGGGAGAAGGAAGAATATGCACAGAAATCCCATGGCTGGAAGGAGTGTGACAGCTTGGAAGAAATGACAGCCCCATGTGGCATGAGCTCGGGGTGAGGGGTCTTGGTACGAGATACGCTGGGGTTTGGGGGGAGCAGCCCACACAGAGCCCTGGAGGCCACCTAGGCCTGTGGTTGGTGATGTGGTAGGTGTCATCTTATGAAAAGATTCCTCTGACCACGGTGGGTGGAAGGAGGCTGTCCCCAGCTCCAGGGTTGTGGTGTGCTGAGGGCTACCTGATAGGTTACACAGTGAGTGTCTCACTCAAGGGCTCAATAAAGGGTGAACTGTGGGTGTTTTAACAACGCCCCCCCGACACAGCTGATGGGAGACTGATGAAAAGGAGACCAGGCAGGGGCTCAATAAACTGAAGTGATAAACACAGTAAGGAGAAGCATGAAGAAGGACGGAGTCTCCACACTTGGGGGCTCTGGATATAATACAGCTTAGACAGATGTGATTTATGATGAAAACTGAGAGTTTTAGATGAACCTAACGCAAAATAGAAAAGGTGTAGATAGAGCAGTTGAATGCTTACCCCCTATGTCTGTCTCCTAGAAGCCAAAATACAGTGGAAGTGATCTGGTAAGAAGGAGCGCTCATCTTTTTTATTTTTTTTTCAGGACCAGCTAAAATCTTCTTCCCTTAGGTTTTACCTTGGGGAAATGGATACACAGCAGGTAGTCCTAAAAGACTTGGAGGGAAGAAGGGGTGGTCATCTCCCATAGGCTCTCAGTAACGATGGGGGTGTGGGCGGTGTTCCCATTTCATTCCTAGAATTCGTATCAGGAAGTGAAACCCGGTGTCACTTCCCTCCCACCTTCAACTTGAGTGGTGAGTCTGCCCTCTGATGACTTAAGGCAGCAAAGACTCATTGCCTCTTTGCATTGGAGGGAACCAAGATGAGCATTTCATCCCAGTGGCGAAAGAGCAATAACTATCCACTGTGATACTCCGGACAGAGGGCCCTCTGCCAGCGACTGGGAATCTACAGGGCAGCCCATCCTAATCTGGGGTAGAATGAACTGTTAGAATCTGCTTTGTAATATTAGGCCACATCTATGTCTTGTAAGTCTTGGCCTGGCCTTGAGGAGCTACACAGACCATGATCCCTCCTCTTTATAGTGTCAAGTATTTGACAATAGCTGTATGGTCCCCTTCTGAGGCCTCCAAGACTTCTGTCCCCAAACCGAACACCCCCCCTCCCCCCAAAAGGGTTCTTTTCTTGACAGTAATTTTATGAATATCCTCGTACATAAATCTTAACATAACTGTCTTTGGGTACATTTCTATAAGCGAAACTACTGGGGCAAATGGTACGTTTTATAGTTTTTGCTCTGTGTTTCCAGATTACCCTCCAGAAAGGGTGATTTTGTTTGTACCTCTTACAAAAGAGCCTGTTTCCCCACACCCTCGCCACCAAACTGGGGAATTTTCATCCTTTTAAGCACTGCCAATCTGATAGGGGAGAGTGATTATCTCATGCTTGCTTTCATTTGTATTTCTTTGATTACGGGTGAAGTTGGACATGTTTTCCAATCACATCCTATACTTTTGCAATCAAGTTTTGGAGCTGGACGCAGGAGCTTACATGTATTCCAGTTAAATTTTATCTTGCTGGATTCCACCAATCATTCCTTCCTGCTGAGATAATTTGGATCCTGGTTCTGTGATTCCAACATATTGGCCTTCCCACACAGCCTTGTGTTATTTGCATGGTTGATAAGCAGTTATCTTTGGCTTCATCCAAGTTGTTGATAGAATGTTAAAGAGTTTAGGGCCAAGGATAGAACGGCTTGGCAGGTCACTGGAGAAAGCCTTGGGAGGACACCGTCCCATGTGCTGTTAGGATTCTACCTGACCACGCCCAGGAGCCGTGGCCTGTGGGTGGAGCCTTCACCTGGGACAGGGGCCAGGCACAGACTCCAGCCCGGACACTAATCGGCTGTATGGTCTTGAGCAAGTGGTGTCACCTTAGAGGGAGATGTGACACATGATTATCTATTTTCTCTTCAGGCTCTGGAGGCCTTTTTGTCACTATTTTGTCCATAAAGATTTCATGAGAACCTTTCAAACTATTGTCAAAAGTCATCACTCTGGGACTTCCCTGGAGGTCCAGTGGTTAGGACTCCATGCTTTCACTGCAGGGGGCACAGGTTCGATCCCTGGTCAGGGAACTAAGATCCTGCATGCTGCACGGTGCAGCCAAAAAAAAAAAAACGATATATAGATATAGATATAAAGTCATCCCTCTATGGCAAAACGCTCACCAAATTTACTAATCTAATGAAAGACATTCCTTCGATGATCAATATTGACCCTTATGCTCGCCCTTTCTAAATGCTGGTCAACCATTCATGTGATTATCTGCTTTAGAATTTTGCCCAGGATCAACACTAAGCTCACTGGCCTTCCATTTATCCAATTCGTAATTTTTTTTTAATTTGGGACATTTGCCTCCATTCTGCATGATTCCTGAAAGGACTCTGAGCATTGGAAGTGTCCCGTGCTCCCCGCGGAGACAGGGCGGTTCTGCCTCCCTGGTTGTTTTCTTTCATATCATGAAGGGGCACATCACTGGGATTGTCTCCTCTGCTCTCAGCATGGACAGAGGGTCCGGGGAATCTGAGGAGGGTTAATAAATAACTTGGACAGTATTGACAAGGAAGCAGGTAGAATGGCCCAGTTTGAGGGGAAAGAGGGTCTTTGTGAGGCTGAGGTTTGCCAACTGTTCTCGTCTTTGGCTGAAGAAACAGCTCCAGTGGGCCTGGGAGAGGGGCCTCTGGTTATCCAGCTCCGGGCGTAATGAAGAAAACAGACATCAACAGAATCGCCTTGATGACACACGATGGCACTTTTCTTTGAGTGGCTTCCATATCAAAAATCAGACAAGACTATTCTAAGGAAGGAACAGTAAACACTCCCATGTAACAGATAAAGAAACTAAAAGAGAAATTAGGTCACTGATTTAAGTGACATAATGAGTCAGTCCTAACTCTGGCCATCTGACTTCTTACAGCCATGTCTGCGAGGTAGCTGTTGATTTTCACCTTGTCAATTTACCACTAACGTACGTAAAAATGGTCATTCCTTACCGTGTGTTGTTGCTCAGACTAATAATAACCATAAGAATGATAATAAAGACTGATACTTAGCTCTCCTGTATGTGCGCCAAGCACTGTCCTAAGTGCTGCACGTGAGTTAACCCTTTAATCCTGACAGCACCCCTGAAGGGTCAGTGCTGTGTTCACTTGGTTTTTTCACAGATGAGATGGAGGCACAGAACAGAGTTTAAGCGACCTGCCTGAGGTCACACACCCCTGAAGGGGCACAGCTGGGGTTGGGACTCGGGCAGCCCGGCTCCCCAAGTCAGGAGAGGTGAGTAAATGAGGACGAAAATGGAATAGCTAGTGGAAGTTATTTCTCCCCCAAATTATGAATGTCTTGCCAACAGTGGTCTCAACTGCTGTGGAGGAACAAACCGACTCACCCCCGAACGAGCTGCGTGAAAAGGAAGGAGGAGCCACGTGGAAACTGGAGCTCGGGATGTGAATAACCTGTCGGGTGGGCGCACAGGCTCTGCGGAATCCCGAGGGGACAGCGTAAACCGATGGTGAGTGTGACCATGACGTGGGACACACAAACACCAGGACCCAGGATTACACCCAAGCCAGACCCGTGAGACGGGGCCTCGCTCCACGGCCCCCCGCCTTCCAGTAACAGGGTTGCGAGTGCGGTGGCCACTGGCGCAGGGGAAGGAAGGGCTGCAGACCCGGCCAGGACTGGGCTCTGATCGGCAGAGTCCCAGTATTGTCTTCCAGTCGCTAGACTACGCTGCTTTCCAGTACACGATTAGGGACATAAAAACTAAAATGTAAGGAAAGCATTTTCATACAAATAATTTCAACCGCAACGAGGCAAACTGGCTTCTGATGAAGTTGGCAAGGGCAGGTAATGAACTCACTCCAGTTGACATATTGAGAGTTGCTCTCTCCAGATCCAATTGGCAGCTTCATAATTATGGAAACGTCCGTGTTGTTTCCACTTATCCAGGGTTAGGCCTGCTGGTATCTGATTCAGTGTTTACTTCATGAATGAGGTCAGTTCCCAGCACAGCTGGGGTTTCAGCAAAGGAACCAGAGCCGCTGGTCAGCAGACAGCGTTCCCAATCACCTCTGAGCGTGGATGTCAGGGCCGCCTTCTCACAGCTCACCCACGCTGGCCACTCTCTCTGGCATTTTCTGGGGCTTGGCTCTGCTCCCTGCTCTGCAGACGGAACCCGAGCTGCAGCCCGAATGTGATGAGATCACATCCAAGTTTCCCACAGCCCAGCGGTTCACTCTTCAACCTGCCCCCCCGCATTGCGACATCTCGCCCCTTCTGAGGTTCAGAACTGCCAGGAAACCGGGTCGCTGTTTAAAATTATTTATTCCAGGCTGGTTCCACTTGTGTGGCGTGGGAGTGACTCAGAATACCTTGGAAGCCACCTCCAGAGGTAACTATGTCCCACAGGCCAGAGCATTCTCTGGGCCAACTCCCCACACTGGGGAAAACAAGAACAAAAGCTCACGAGGGCTCAAAACACTCGTTTACGGAGTGACATCCCCAAAGTTCACGGAGGTGACAGGGAAGCCTGCTGAGGGCAGAGAGGAGGGGCGGCGCTCCACGGCAGGGCTCGGCTCCAGGTGACTGCGGCAGCAGCAGCAGGGGTCTTCAGCGTCATCGATCTGCTCCCCTGCGTCCTGAGCCGCAGCCTTGGGACAGCAAGCAGCGACAAAGCGTGGGGTCCAAGTCTGGAGCGGCTTTCTCAGCTCTGGCGGGGATGGCTTTATCTCAGTGAGAGAAGGTGGTAGGAAGCTTAGGGACAGCGATCTGGTTTGGACTGCACAATGATCGTGGGAATCATATGCTGAGACAGTTTCACGCAAAATCTGTGGGCTGTGGGGGGAATCTGGAGTAGGACGTGGTTTAGGAGCATGAGGCAAAGGCAGATTCAACAAGGAGGCTTCCTCCTTCTCACGCTGACAAGGCAGAGTATGTGCCACGACCCACGTTGTCACCGCCTAACAGACCGGGGGGCTGCTGACACAGATGCGAGAGAACAGCGTGGAGGAGCCACAGTCCCAGATGTGAAGAGGTGAGCTCTCTCCTCCATTGACCTCAGCAGAGGGCGTTTTAGGATAAAGACTTCATTCTCTCTCTCATCCCAAGGGTTGGTCCAGCGGCCACAGGAGACTTCAGAACGTCTCTGCCCACCGGAGGGTCTAAAGAGCCTGTTCGACTCGAGTCAGATTCAGATCACTTCCCTGACATGCTCCCTCAAGAGAAAACCTGCCTCAGCCCCAAGATGTTCCGTCCACCGATTCCTGCGACCCAGACCCCCGTTACTTGCTGGCGATTCTGTTGCCCGTTGTATCCACTGTTGTCATGTCAACTTCTAATCAAAATGATCTTTTCCCTAGAATATGCTTCTGGAAGTTTTTGGAGATGAGGCCCTAAACAAAGTTCATTCCTTCACCCTCTCTGGCCTCATCACCTTGGCCCTCCGCCCACTTGGCTGCAGTTGCTGACACTTGGACGTACCAGACACACATGCACCCCAGGGCCTTGGCACGCGCTGCTTCCTCCGCCTGGAATACTCTCCCTGGGTTGTCCACGTGGCTCCGTCAATCAATCCCTTCTTTTAGGTCTTAATCCACATGCCTGCTGGCCAGTGAGACCTTTCCAACCACTCTCCTCCCCAGACCCTCCCACGTGTGTCCTCCTTCCATACATGTTTGTCCCTGGAGCTTTTAACCCCATCTCAGACAGCACCCACTGCCTGTCTGTTCTCCACCTACCTCCCCCATTGGAACGCCAGCTCCACGCGGGCAGGGATTTTTGACTCTTTTGTCCACTGTCGCAGACTCATACCTGTAACAGTGCTTGGCTTATCCACCCTGAAATATTTACTGAGTGTTCCCTGCACACCAGGCACCAATCTAGACACTGGATGTTTTTGCAAAAGTTTGTCCAGGGCTTCCCTGGTGGCGATGCAGGGGACACAGGTTCGCACCCCGGTCTGGGAGGATCCCACGTGCCGTGGAGCGGCTGGGCCCGTGAGCCATGGCCGCTGAGCCTGCGCGTCCGGAGCCTGTGCTCCGCAACGGGAGAGGCCACAACCGCAAAAAAAAAAAAAATTGTCCACTGATTGAGGCATTGTCTCAGTAGGTCCTATAAGCTGAAAGAAGCTGTGTGTCTCCTGATTCCTCGCAGAGATTTGAGGACTTGGATAAATACTTTGCCTCTCTCCCTCTCCTTCGCTGCCCCCTTGCTTCTGTATATTCTGCTTTCCCAACAGACACAGGAAAGGGGGCTCATTCCAGAGGAAAGGCAGAACCTTCTATGATTTAGGAGCACAGGTGTTCGCTCTGCTGGGGCCAACTGAGCCTGCTTTTTACGAGCTTCTGAGGAGGAAATGCATCTGACGTGTTGTCACCTCCCGGTTGTTAAGAGAGAGCCCTGGGACTGGTTGAGCTGTGGGCGAGGCAGGCGGCCGGGCCGTTACACAAGCTTTCCAGAGACATGGGGGGGGAGGGGGGAGGTTGGCGGGGTGAGCTGATGCCTCAGCCACAGCAGAGGGACTGAGGCTGCAGCCTGCAGCCAGCAGCCTGGCTGGAAAGTCTGCGTAAAGGACACCTAGAGGAAGAGGGGCCTCCGTCCCTCTCCACCTCGCTGTAACCCTGCATTTCTCACCCCCTCCCCACCCCAGAGATTTGCAGCCCGGGAGGCTCACTGCGTCTTGATCATTTAAAAGCTCGCTGGTTTCTCCCAACAAATCAGAACTTCTTTTCTTTCCTCCCTTTTGAAAAGCCTTTTGTGAGATTGGGAGTGACCCAAAAGTAACCTCTCTATTCCTGTCTGAAGGGAAAATATTTCCAGATCAGAGTGAGCAGTCTGCAGTGCCAAGCCCGGGCATATATGAATACTCAATTATGCCTCCTAAGCCGCCAGCCGGTCTCAGTTTCAGAAACGAACCAGAAGCAGAGAAAAGAACTTGCGAATCAAGAGGTTTATTATTTTCCCCTATGCAGTGTTTTGAAACCGAAGTTTCCACATTTTTAAGGGTTTGATGTCATAAAATTCCCATGTATGACTGCATTTTGGAAAATGGAGTCATTGTGTGTGTGTCGGAATGTGAGAGGTTTAGCATATCACTTAGAACCAGGAATCTGAGATGCACAGACAAGACAGGCCACTGGGCATTTGCTGTCATGAGTTCATGTGATGGTAAGACTGTTCCGGGACAGTCTGGAAGTTAAGTGTCAGTCTTCCGAAAAGAACTGGGACCTCTGAGTGCCAGCTGTTGTTATGACAAGTGCAGTGTAAGCAGGTTTCTATTTAAAACGTTCACAGCTGGTACTTGACCATTTCTTGTTTTCCAAAGGGCACCCTCTCTCCCTCGGATTTTTTTCCACGCTAGTCTGGTTTAACCCAACCTGCTGGGTCCAACCCAACCCAAAGGCATGAAGAGAAGGACATTGATAAAAGGAGCAGGGAAGGTGTGGTCTTGTGCTGCTGGAACCAGGCTCAGATGAAGACAAGACAGCCCTTGGAGACAGTGCTGGAGGGCGAGGGGTGGAGAGCCGCCAGAGATGGCGAGGAAGGAGTGTTTCCCTGGCTTTGCGTGAAAGAGGCGGCAAAGGCAGACACCCAGGACTTATCCCTTCACAGCCTGTCTGGTAAGGCCCTTGGGTGCCCCCTGGGATCCAGGACGCCTAATCTAAGTAAACTCCAGATCTGTCGACAGCAGTTGCCTATGGCGGGCAGGGGACACTCAAGAGAGGAAGAAGGAGAATTCAGAAGTGGGGTGCGCGGGGCTGGAAACGGGGAAATGGAGGGATCTGCAGCACAAGCAATCGAAGGCAGAGACCAAGGATGAGCTGGGTGTCAGGACGGGAGCCCAGAGTCTTTGTTATCATTTAGGTCCCCAATCTTCCTCGCCTTAATTACGGAATGAAAAGTGGTGAGGCTCGGATACTCGAGGACCGGGGCTTTAAGGCTGTGGATTTGGTTCCTATATTTCCCCAGTTGTGTAAGACTTCTCCCTTCTGATCTTCAGAGGGCCCTCCTCTCCGTCCTCCCACCTCCATTCTCCCTCTTCCCTCCTCCCTCCTCCTTCATCAGCCCTCCTCCCTCTCTTCTCCATCCTCCCTCCTCCCCCTCCCTCCTCCCTCCTTTTCTCCATCTTCCTTCCTCCCTCCTCCCTCCACCCCCTCCCTCCTCCATCCTCCCTCCTCCGCCTCCATCCTCCCTCCTCCCTCCACCCCCTCCCTTCTCCATCCTCCCTCCTCCCTCCTCCCTCCTCCCTCCGCCCCTCCCTCCTCCCTCCTTTTCTCCATCTTCCTTCCTCCCTCCTCCCGCCTCATGTCCCTCCTCTTCCTCCTGGGCACAGCCAGTCACAAAGGGGCAAGAGTGACACCAGCGGGGACAGAGGTGTGCTGGAGCTGGGCCTGCAGTAGTCAGCCCTGGAACAAGGCAGCGCTTGTGTATATAGAAGCTTTTCAAGGCGGTTTCACAGATACAGGGACGTTGGAGTGAGAGGAACAGAGAAATT